TATATATATATATAAATACACACAATGTTGTTGTTATATATAAGAATTAAAAAATAAAATGAATCAACTATTTCGAATAGGGCGGGACTAATTGCCAAACGAGGAGAGAGGATGAGATTATGAGTTCCCGATGTCTTATGTTTCTCATTCGGGTACACAAAATTTTTATATATATATATATATATAATTTTTTTGTTAAATAATTATAAAATCAAATGAATAAAAATTCGGACCTAACTATTTCAAATAGTTGCATAAATTAATTGTAAATAAGTAGTAGTATATATTCTTATACGATTCAGTGACTGTAATTATTAATTAGTAGGATATTAAAAGTATGGTCTACGGAGTTGTGTATGCATCTTTCTTACTCGAACGACGTGTCTCGTAACTTTGTTTAATTAATAATATAATTTAATTATTTAATTTCTGTGAGTTCCAATTAGGTTTCACTTTCTCATATACCTCCATATCGATGAATTTAATTTTCCTTCTTTCAACGTATCGACGAATAGTAAGTTGGCGATTATTTAAATTGATGTCGGTATTTAAATATTCACAGACAAAAAGGGCTATTAAGCAATCGAGTAATTAATTGATTAGAATATTAATGAAATGATATCGAACTTTAATTGCTTCTAGAATCAGGACATTTCCAGTGGAAGACAATGAGCTGTCGCTGTACCGTCGTACCATCTTAATTGAGATTAGTCTTATTTTTATTGCATAAACCATAATTTTTAATGTCATTTATTTCTGCTTAATTATGTTTAGTTTGAGATTTTACACGTTGGAAAGGGAATTTTGTGGGTAGGGTATTTTTAGATTTGTTTATTTAGATTTTTCCAAATTTTTATGTTTTTTTCTTTTATGATAAATATAATAAATTTATGGATTTTCATTTTACTCTCTAAAATCATCAGTTTTTTTTCTGAAATTAAGAAAAATTATTCATAAAAAATAAATCGATAGAGTTTTTTTTTTGTATTTTGAAGAAATATCAACGGTAACCGTTTCCGTTGTGTGAATTTATTTTTCCACCCCTTATGCCTTTGGAATTAATATAACTTGTTTGAAAAACAACTCATACACTTATAATCAAATATTTTATTTGAATGATCTCTTCGTAATTAAATTATACTTCTTAAATGTTTCTCTAAACCTTTTTACAATAAATTGTTACATCAAACAACTATACATAAATATATATTATTTATAATATAACGAAACCGAACATTAAACAATAAAAAAATGATTTATAAAGAGATTTGAACTAAAGATTTTATTTTATTTAATTCAAACGTCATGTTTCGTCAACGTCTTTGTTTTTGTGGGGAAAGAAGAAAGTCAAAGACCGCACAGTGAAGTTCTTCGTGATCCAACCTCAGACAGGGAAGCGTGTCATTAAAATTTCGAATACGTATTTTACTTTTTAATCTCTAATCCAATCCTAATCGAATCCTAAAATTAATGAATATTCAATCCTTTTATTTTATGAGTAATGGAGTTTCATTAAATAATCAACTGATTTTCACCCCAAATAGATTGTTAGTCTCTTGAGTTTTATTTTTGTTTGGATTTTCTGAAAAATAAAACTCCCTAATAAATAAAAATAAAAAGCATAATATAAAATTAATTCCATGTTTAGAAAGGTGCTTAGTGACCTAAACAACATCCTTATCCGCTCATCTTATGGAAAAACATCTCAAAGTACATCTCTCTTTCCGGAAAATTAATTTGTGTTGTAATTATAATTGCAAAAGATAAAGATCTTATCCGAATCCAAATTCTACGAAAACCCAATCGCCTCGCCTACCGACCAGAAAAAAAAAAAGAAAACATAGTTGAGTTGACCATATCCACATATAATCTCTATCTAAATCTCATAAAGGTAAAAAAAAACATTAAAAAAATAAGAGAATGTGTAAAATGTAATAAATATAACATTTTTACGCATTCATGGATTGTAAACCGGTCATAACCGGACGAACGCAAACCAATCGGGTCGGACAAATTCTTATATATATATATATATATATATATATATATATTGAAATGAAATGTGTTAATAGTAGGATTTTAACGAGAGATTTATCGAATCGGTCCAAACATATTTAAAAAGTGATTATG